GGGGAGCATGGTTAGAAGATTTAAGGAGGAGCTTGGACTTGATAAAGACTTCCTGAAGGACAAGAATTTCTTGAAACTGAATGCTCTACCTAGGGGCTGGGTTGTGGCTCAGTGGTGGAGCACTTGCTAGCTTGTATGAAGCACTGGATTTGATTCTCAGTACTGCATATAAATGAATAAATAAAATAAAGATTCATCAACATCTAAAAAAAATCATTTTTAAATACTTAAAAAAACTTTAAAAATGTTCACCCTTTAAATGAAAAAAGCCACTCTAGCAATTTATTCTCTGCTGACCATTAGGTGCAAAAGAATAAAAGTATTAAGAACACTCACCACAGGGTTATTTATAATAAAGAAATATAAACAACCTATGGAGCTCATGTGCTGCATAACCTTTCAGTCAACCAGTGGCTGCATTTACGACTGTGTCCCCATAAGATTATACCACCTCCTGATGTAGCTGTCTGAGTTTGTGTAAGTACACTCCATGATGTTCACACAGCGACCAAGTTGCCTAATGGAGCATTTCTCAGAATGTGTCCTCATTAAGTAACACATGACTATATCTGCAGATCGGCCTTCGGTTAGGAACATTATGATATACTATGGAATATTCAGCGGGCATTTGACATGGTGCTGATTTTCCCTGGTATTCTAGTAGTTAGGATTTTTTGGTCTCAAAATGGTGTAAATATCTTTTCATTGATCTGGCAAAAAGTTTATCACTATTATTATAAAGGGAAAAATATTTTTAAAATAAAAATCGGAGTGGTATTGCATTTTTTGTTCAAAAGTATATTAAACTAGCCATAAATTCTATGTGCAACAATAGGATAAATGATAATTTGTGGAGTGCCAGAAATTTGGCATTTAAAAGGAGATATTTCAGCTTCTTTCTCTCTTGAGATAGCCCACATTGTCCCTTGAATGTGTGCCCCTTGCTTTCCTAAACAAACCTCCACTGAGAGAGAGAGAGAGAGAGAGAGAGAGAGAGAGAGAGAGAACACGTGCTGTCCATACTGTTCTGAGCAACTACGGGACACCTGGGTCTCCCTGGGAGCTGTGTCCAAGGTCATCTCACAGGCATTGCTGAGCTGGGCATTGAAGGGGTGCTGAGAGTACAAGATGGGCGTGACAGTACAACAAGAGACTGGATCTGGACCATGGCAGACCCATGAACAAGGGCCCCAGGTGCAGAGAGGAGAAAACGCTTGACTCTCTCTGGGAGAGGAGCCTCATGCCCAACAAAGCCCATGGACGCCCACAGCTGTGCACAGAGCTGACAAGATTGCTCCCAGCATGCTTTTAGGTACCCCAAGGAGGCTCATAACACTGCTCTAGAAGTGGGAAGTACTGTCCTCGCCTTTGGGACAAGTAAGACCTTTGAGACAAGGTCTCTAAGGGGAGCCCTTGACCCCAAAGACATTCTAGGCCAATCATGACAAGCCGTTACTCTATCCCTGTCTATGAGAGCATTGATAATGAACAAAGGGGTTGAAGGGAATCAGATGACCTGAACCATGGATTGAAGCAGCCTTAAGACTCAGTCCGGTAAAGGTCCCCTTGTCACCTTTTCTAAAAGCCCTTTTAGCTGGATACGTGCACAAACATACACACGTACACCCGCTTCACGTGCAGGCAAACACATACACCCAGATACATCCAGGACACAGATTCTTGTGCAGCAAACAGTATTTTTAAATATTTGAGGGCAGTGACCTGTGGGTTTATTGAACCTGGATTACTGCAACAATTTTCTTTCCTAGCCCAAATCATCTTCAAGTCAATACCTATGGCCACTTGCCGTGTCTCTGAGTAAATTTCATATGGCCGTGTCAAACTGAACCCAGTGCACAACGGATCCTTAATTGCACTTGCAAAGAACATTTAGCTTTCTGGCTTCAGCAGCCCTGGTATCTGCCTTACGACTGTGTCAGGGGCCGATGGTAGAAAAATCCCAAAGCACTGTGTAATTCAGCTTAATTGGGCAACCATTAGAACTTCCTCCAATGAAGCCAGGAAGCAGGGAGACTGCAGCTGACCTCCCTGGGGCAATGCAGGGGTCTTGGTCCAGGGAGCACTTTACACAGGATTAATACATCTGAAGTTACCCAACTTCCCAGCATGATCTAATTAGTAAACACCTTCAAAGGGATCAGCCTAACTTCGGAGACAAAGTCTGCCACACACAGCAAAGGTGGACAAATAAATATTTAAAGGCACATCTGTGTGGGTGGGAGAGGTGGGGACCAGATTGGGAACAGATATGCTCTAACTTCCGGATCTCTGTTGTCTAATTGCCCTTGACCTAGCCCCTTCCACTGGCCAGACGTGCCCTTTCTCCAGGGCTTCTGGGTGGCTTGGCTCACTAGATGCTCACAGCCTGCCTCCAGAGGACCTGTCCTAAGGCATGGACTCACCTAACCTTATCATAGAGGGCAGTCAGAGCCCTGGTCCCTCAACACAATTGTGTTGTTTGTTAGGGGTAAACAAGTCCTATTTAAGGGTCTAAAATAACACACTGCTAATCAGCAAAAAAATGACAATTAGTGTTGTCATTGTTATTGTTGAATCCAGCAACACGTAACCTCAAGGACTGGCTCTGCAATGCGGCATTTCAGGTAACAACAGCTCAGGTCAACTGCACCTCTACAGAAGACTAGCTCGTCTGCTGATTTCCGGACTCCTCATGCTTTTCAGTGGCTTGTGGCCAATTATCACATAACTCCCTGCCACACGGTGCTGGAACAGCAACTAACAAGACCTCCCCGGTCACACAAAGGCTTTGAAAGAATCAAAGGACGTGCATGACTCCCCAGTGACCCACAATCAATTCCATCCCCATCATTAGCGCTCTAGAAGACCTGGGACGGAAAGTTTTTCATCACTAGGAAATCCACTCGGATTGGAGTTCAAGTCTCTGTAGTAGTTCAGACGGAAGACCAATAGGAGCTTCCTGATACACTCTATTTCACATGTGAGAGGACAGAGGGGACAAGGCACCTGCGGCATTATGCTGGAGACTGCCATCATTCATTGTCTCATGTGACCCTTCAGGTCCACCTGCCAACCCGGCTTTCTCCTCCTTCACACAGGAACCTGAGGGTTAGGCACATCAGATGGGCTACGCATATTCAGTCCACTTTGTTGGTTCATTTTTCTTGTCTGATTTGTCAGTGAGTAAGGGGAGTCATAGAAGATGATGTCGAAGAGCTAGGTCAGCTTCAGGTGACACAGGGCTTCCTAAGCCAGGGTAAGTCTCACTCATGAAACATTTCTTGAGTGAATCAATGCACAGGTCTTGAAGTACCAAGAAAGTTAGGAGCAAAAGCCTTTAAGACTTGGATCAGAAGGACAAACCAAATCCTCCCCCTTTCATTTGAGAACTATTTCCTGCCAGGGCTGCGGTAGAAAGGGTTGCCAGACTGAGCAAGCAAGCTCTTGGCTTCCTCCCAGCTCACCCTTTTAAAGAAAGAGACAAGACTATGGTTAGAGCAGCAAGTTCTTCAGTCTGAGGAATCTCTGGGTGAGCACATGGAAAACATCTAACTGTGCCTGGAAAGAGTCAAGGAAAATGCCCGGGATGGTGTACAAATTACAGCCAAGAGAAAAAAATAGGGATGAGTTGCTCCCAAAGGCTGGAAAATCAGGGAATATTGAAGATAAACTTGGACTTGAGTTGTGTCTTCAAGAGAAATTAAAGGAGAGAGAGAGGAGGGGCACCAGGTTAAATGCACACTGGTTTGAATGAAAAGTCGACATTAGTATGAGGCACTCAAAGCCTCCTACAGTGTCTATTCCTCCTAACTCACGCTTCTTCTGCACACACCACATATACCCCCATGCGCATCCACCCTCTCTGCTGAAACACAGCTGAAATGACCCATAAGTTTTCTCCCAATTCCTTATCACCATAGTCACTCTGAAACGAATGTCTGATTCTCTGCTAGGAAGGTCACGTGCATCTTCCTGATGATTGAACATGCCCATGGCCAGGAAACTCTTAATTTCACCAGTTCACCTTCTTTGGCTAAAAAGATCTGTCCTTACATGCAATAGAAGACTTTTTTCTTGATGTTGCTATTCCTTGGCGTTAATTTTAATTTCAGAAGTATGTTGGCCAGCTATTTGATATATAATGATAATCATTATTATATTAATATATAATGATAATCATCATTATAAAAAAAAATGGGTGCATTTAACACTGAGCATTAATTTCTCAGGCATGAATGATGTTTTGATCAGCTTTTTTTACTGCTGTGACTGAAAGACCTGACCAGAACAATATAGAGGAGGAAAAGTTTGTTTGGGGGCTCACGATATCAGAGGTCTCAGTCCATAGACACTTGGTTCCATTCCTCAGGGCTTGAGATAAGGCAGAACATCATGGGAGAAGAATGTGGCAGAGGGAAGTGGCTCACATGATGATCAGAAAGCAGAGAGAGAGAGAGACTCCACTGGCCTGAATCAAAATAAATACCCAAAGGCATGCTCCCAGGAACCCACCTCCTCCAGCCACACCCCACTGGCCTTCAGTCACCACTCAGTTAATCCCACCATGGGATTAATTCACTGATTGGGTTAAGACTCTCAGAACCCAATCATTTCTTCTTGCATTGTTTTACACATGAGCTTTTGGGGGACACTCCACATCCAAACCATAACAAATGGACCTTTTGGCTGGGAGGGCTCTGGTGCATGTTGCAGAGTAGCAGAGGTGGCTCACCTCTAAATGTGTCCCAGCTCATCTGGGACCAGTGGGCCAACTGAGTCATGTTGTTATGGCAACAGAAGAAAGACAGGAGAGTGAAAGGAAACATGAAATGTACTCTAAGGTCCAAAACTGGCTTTCTATAACTTCTACCTACCTTTCTATAACTTCACTGGCCAAGCCAAGTCATGTGTCCAAACCCAGATGCCTAAGGTCAAGGAGAAGGAGAAGACACGCTGCCCGCCAAAAGATTTTGGCAAGAATGAATGCAATCATACAAGAATTGTAGCCAATTATTTAATCCACCACAGAAGCTACAAATTCTTTGTCCCATTTCTCTGATGTAGAACTCTCTGGAGGCAGAACTCATGTTCCTGCTAAAGTCCTTTACTTTTCATCCAGCAGGTCCTCAAAGCCTTTCTCCCTACCCTGACCTGAGCACACTGTAGTTTGTGAACATTTCTAGCTAATGATTACGAACATTTCTAGTTAATATTTCTGGCCATCTGATGTAGTCATGATACTGTCTCCCAGAGGGGATTTGCCAGGACTTTGGGTGAGTTTGTTAGGATTCCAAAAGTTAGCTCACAATTCTAAAGGTCAGGGAGGTCATTCTGGTCTGGGTTGAGCTTGGCTGATCTCAGCTGGGCTAACTCCTACATCTAAAATCAGCTGAAAGGTCTGCTGCGGTACTTGGTCCAGAAAGGCCAAGGCAGGGACAGGCGGGGTCTCTCATCATGGTCTTCCTCCAGGAGGCTCAGCCAGACTGAATCACGTATCCATAACAGGGTTCCACGAGTTCAAGAATGGAGAGGTGCTCAGATGACACATCACTTCTGCCACATTCTAAAGCCAAAGCAAGTCATGGGGCCAAAGTAAAAAAGAAGAATTAGGAAAACAGACTCCACCTCATATGGAAGAAGCTACAAAGTACATTGATCATTTTTGCAGTCCCCCTGAACCCCCCCACCACACACACACAGGGGGACTTTGTATCAGGTTTCCATGAACAAATTGAATGTAGTGTGCTTGCCTTGGGTTTTGGCCCATGCCACACGGTTGACTCACAGGCAAGTTAATGAACAACCTTAGACTTTGGGTCATGAAATGTTGTCAAGAAAATTCATATTACACACACGTTTATGTTACTGAGCTGAACCCCAGTAGAACCCTTTATACTGAATTTCAACTCCACTGCCACCTCCAGTATGTTTTCCTCTACAACCTTCTTGCAGAAATCTTTGTATCTGTTTTTAAAGGGGCTGCCAAATTCTGAACATCATTATGCATTTCCATATAATATCTTGCTACTTGATATCTCATTGATCCAAAGAGTTTAAAGACAGAAATAATCACATTTTTTTAACCTTCCTGCATTTTTTATTGCCACCATGACAGTGCCAAACATACTCCTTTATTAGCAGAGAAAGCCACACAGGAATGAATCAATACCCAGTACGACACAACTCCGATGGGGTAAGTTGGCGGCTCTTCAATTTTTTAGTTTGTTTGTTTTTATTTTTGTTTGGTTAGTTGTTGTTTTGTTTTATAAAGTTTCTTTTTAAAAGATGAACTATTATATGAAAACTCAGCATGAAAGGAGGATAAACACGGGACTAATTTAGTGGGAACAGGGGACATTCCTGAGGTTTCTCCTACTCTCCTTGTCCTCTCCCATCCTCTCCTAACGTATGGGAGGCCTCCTCTGCCATGGAATAAACTTTGAAAATCGCTGCCTGAAACTGGCATTTTCAAGCTTCAACAAACAACTCTCCAATAAGAAATGCACTTTATGCTGTAACCCAAATACCCGCACAGTGGACACCTGACTGCTGCCTCTCAACACTACTTCACCCCAAGTGCATTACCTCTGATGTCCTCTATCCCATCCGTTTCATTTTGGAAATGTTTGTTATGAACTATTAAATTGATTTTACAAGCCACTGGGCAAGCCGTGTCCCCTCCCCACCACCAATAGAACCCATCAGACGAGATGACCTCTTGAAGAAGTCTTCCAACTTTTAAATCCTCTTGGCTTATGATTCTGTAGCTTCTGTGTCCTCAGTTTCCATCACTTGTTCTCAGGGACAAAGAGGGGGTGGTGACAGGCATGATCATGCAGAGCAGGAGTCAAGTTTTGGACAGGCTACAGTAGTGCTCCCCAGGACAATGGACACCATGTGAGTTCAGGGACACTGATCAAGCCAGTAGCTTAAACTTGTCAGAGTTTACTCTGGAGTCACATGACCTAAGCTTAAACCCTAGTTGTGCCAATTATAATTTGAGTTGCCTGGGTTTCCTAGTTTATCTGTCTGGATAATTACCTCTGCCAATAATTACCTCTTCTGAAATTGAGGTGATACCCACCCTGCAGGGTCATTAACAGCATTAAATAAGGTAATATATAATGGACTTAGTATGGTGCCAGTAATACAAGCCCTGCTCACACTTCTTTAGTGTTTTAAGTGCCAGATGAAGGGGGAGCTGCAGAGAAACAGAGAGAAATGCCTGAATAATATCTGGCCAAAACAATGTTTTGAGAAACAAGACTTTGGATTCTTAAAAATGCTTGAAGATTATTAAGTTGGACACAAAACAGCCAACCACATAGTATCTTAGCTGTGATGAGTTACTCTAAAATGCAGAGCCCTATGAAAAGTCCCAGCAAGATGAAGTCATAAAATTCATCAATCTTATGTGTGTGTGTGTGGTGTGTGTGTGTATGTGTGTGTGTGTGTGTGTGTATTAGGAAGGTACATTTGTTAAGCTCAGCAAACAGTTATCTTCTGTGTGCCACAAAATGTAGTGAAGTTACAGGACAATTGGGGCAAGTCTTTACCATCAAGGAACCTACAGCCAACACCTCAGTCTCGCTCTGTCATTGTTCTCCCCTTTTATTGAGCACTTACTATGTAGCAGGCACCATGCTAGGTGTTTTCTATACATCTTCTCACCTAGTCCCCCTGGCAGCAGCTGAGCCGTCAGGTTCTGTTATTCCCGTCTCATGGTGGAGGACACTGAGTCCACTAGCTGCTCAGAGGCAGAGCAAGCAAGAATGTGAACTCAAGTGTCTCCACTGCCACGCAAATCCTCTACACCCCTCAGTTCTAGTCTCATGGATTAATAGATGAAGATATGAGAATGGCCTGGTACAACGTTCCAGCTGTGGGGTGCCTGTGTGTGTGTATCAAAACAGCATCCGGTAGGGACAGGGAAAGTGAGTTTCAGATCTGTGTTTGAATTCTTGCTCCAGCACATAATAACTATGGGGGAGGGGATCAGATGGATATTCATATAATAGAAAGACTATAAAAAAATACACGTCCCAGCACCCCCAACCCAGAACATCTAATTCAATAACTGTACTTTGCAGCTGAGAAAATCACCACTGGGTGGGGAGGGCACAGGGAGGGAGAGGCTGTTGCCATCAGACCTGGTTTCCAGACCCCAGCTCTGTGCTCCTTCCTGGCTCCACCCCAGGTCACCTCGCTCTATAAACAAGCCCAAATTTGCACATGGATTCCCCCAAAGTCAAAGGAAACTGGCTTCCCACACCAGGCAGATTTTTGTAGAGGACCGTCCCCCTCACTCTGAGATCTCCCTCTGTCTGCTCACTTACAGAGGTCACACGAAGGGCAGGGGATGCTCCCTTGACTGGACTCCTGGGTCTCTACGCCCAGGAATGCAGCAGAGGTTTAAATAAATCAGGCTGCAGGCAAGAATTCAGACTGGCTCCTCTGCAAGCTCTGGGCTCTTTCTTTCTGGTGGATACCACCAGCTGTCTTGTTGCTAAGAGACCAGAGTGGGTGGGGAAGGGCAATAGCCATAATTTTCCAACTTATCTGCAAAACCAGTTTTGCCTTTGCTCCCCCAGGGGTTCCATTTCCTTAAGAACAGGATATTACAACCAGGCAGAGGAAGAGGGTCAAAATATAATTTTTTAAAGAAATGGACTGAGTTTTTCCTGGGCATGCAGTGTCACTCCAGCAGAGGAGTCCTGGGAGCTGCCAATTACGGTCTGATGCAATGTTTGGGAAAGAGCTGCAGAGTACACATGACTCAACACAATGTGACGATTTGCATTCCTATCTCTTGGGAAGTTGTACTTATCAGCACCACCAAGTACCATGCGGTCAGCAAGAGAGCTGGGCTGAGTGTGTCACTGGAGAATTAAAAAGGAATTAAAAACCAAGACGGGGATCTGGGGAGGTGAGTATTGGAATCACTATCACTCCGGGACTTTCCTTTTGAGTTGCATTCCAATCGGACAGACCTCAACCTGGCAGAGCCGTACCATTGCTCAATGTCAGAAACATTCTCCTGGAATGTGGGACATGTGAACTTGGACACCCCCTGTAGCTTCCCTGTGTGACCCAGTGAGCTGCACCCTCCATCAACACACCCTTCATGAGAGCAGAGGCAGAACTCAGAGCTGGGGTGAGCTGGGAGGAGACAGGGACACAGAAGGTGAGGAGCCCGCAGCCTTCCTGCTCCGAGCTGTTTGTACAGACTCACTGATGAGCAGACTCGGAAAGTGAGCCCTTGGGAACAGGCCAGGGCGGGAAGGGGGAGGTTTTCCTTTAGAAAAAAGCAAGAATGTGAATTGACATTTTCCTTCTCTGTTTGTGCTTAGCAATGTGAGAGAGAGAGACAGAGAAAGAAGGAAGGAAGGAAGGAAGGAAGGAAGGAAGGAAGGAAGGAAGGAAGGAAGGAAGGAAGGAGAAAGAAAGAAGAAAGAGAGAGAGAGGGAGGGAAAGAGGGAGGAAGAAAGAAAGAAAAACTACCCAATCCCTCAATTCCAAAGAGCTCCAAGAGTGGATATATATGGGCATTCAATTCCCCGTGCTGCCCCTGTCCAGCGATGCCCCGACCTTAGCTCAGATAGTCAGCTCAGGGATCCATGTCACACCACCATAAATGAAAATCCGAGTTGGCATGCTCAGAAGTCCACTGAGACCTTGCAGCGTGTTCTAGAGCTCAGAGTCTCAGTCAGCCAAGGACTAATCTTTGGCATCCTGCTCTGATAGCCATATACAAATCAATCACAGTACCCCTCCCGCACCTCCAAAACTAGTACAGAGGAAAAGAAGGCTTCGTGGCCCACGTGCCATCGAAGGCAGATAATAACGGATTTGAGCACAGGGTGCTGTGTGCCAGGGTCAGGGGAACGCGGGGAGTCAAAAGGAGAATGGTGAAACTAAATCAAACACACACACTCTGAACAGCCACCGTGGGGAGAACCCGATGGCTCTGCCCATTTAACCTTTACAACCAATGGGGTGCACGCGGCAGCTTCTCACAGCCCCTGCCCCATCTAATAGACCCGACTCTATCCCACAGAAGGCGGGACTGCTTCTACAGGGACGATTCCTCAGGCCAGCTGTTGGAGATGCTGCACTCTTACACACAGGACAGCAATTAGCTAAAATAATACCAAACTGCTGTCACCCCTAATCCCTAATTGCCCCTCTGGGCTTGTGGCTTGTCTACCAGAAGACACGCAGAGGAGCAAGTGGGAGGGCCGTTCAGGGGAGACTGGACGAGGTTCCATGGGTATTTTCAGAAGAATGACAAGTGGGCTGGAGACAGCCAGCCATACTCTGTGAGAGGCAAGGCAGAGTTGAGTGACTGACCTTGAGCTCTGGATTGGGGAAGGAGGTGGAGGTGGGAGTGGCCAGATGATTAGATCACAGTCACATTAACCACAGGATGGGTCCCCTCCTGGTCTCATTCTGGAGCAACTGTGTGGCAGGCATTTTATTGATGGAGGCATCAGAAAGTAGTGACTGTGTAACCAGCAGCTTTAGATCTCCTTTCAAGCCCAGAAAACTCATCAGGTGACCTTGGGCCAGTCACCTCTCCTGTGTGGGACAAATCAGTAAACCAAATGATTACATTCACAGTCATGGTTGATTCCTGTAAGGCTTCGTAAGTCATCTCTGTCTAAGCCAGGGTCTGATCAGAATACATGTTAGTAGATAAAACAATGAGTCACATGTATGTCTAGTTTTGAATTTTGAGAAGGAGGTAAAAAAGTGTGTCAATTTCTTCCTTGCAGAATGTAAAGAAGAGTTCCATCACCACAGCAGATGCCCCTGGAGGAGGGCTGAGCCTTTGTCAATGCTACACCAATAAAGGCACCTTTAGGAAAATGACTGGAAGAAATTCATCAGCGATATCTTCCCAGCACCCAGCATGATGCAAAGCACATAGTAAATGTTGAATAAATGCTTGCTGTGTGAATCAGTGGCTTGATGGAATTCAATTCTGAGTTGAGCTTACAGGTTTTTTTTTTGAAAGAATACTTGGGATTTTTTTTAAAGAATACTTGGGATTTTTTTTCTACCTAGGACAGCTAGAGCCAGTCAATCAGTCAGGGCCATTAATTTCTGTCACGCCCACAACCCTGCCCTCCTCTTGCCTTTTCTACCAGGTTAACACTGATCTGTTTCCACACTTGCCTAGGCAACTCCTGTCCCTATTTTGACACTCTTCTCAAACACCTCCTCCCATAATAACCTCTCCCTGCTGTAGCCTTAAGGACCACCGTCACTCCCCATCTTCCCCTGGGTGTCACCCTGGTACCCACAGCACAGTGCCTGGCAAACAGTGCCACCTCAATACTTCTCACCAAAAGGACCCACAATTGGGATTTGATCAATCACAATGAGGTGCCTACTAAGTGTAAGGCACTGTGCCTCTGCCTTTTGCTGAAATTGTCTTGCACAGTCAAGAGCCTGGGCGCATTGCATATCTGAATGACTGCTCCATTCTGAATTCCATATCACAACCTGCTCTTTGCATTTGCCAACACACCATAGCCATCTTTTTTAAGTCAAGAAATGTTCATTCTATAATCATTCTTGATGTCTGCATCGTGTTTGTTGATGTGGATGTATTGAAATCTGTTTCCCCAGCTATTGTTTTAAGGACAAGGAAATGAAGTTCAGGTAATTTAGAAAGGTGCTCAGGGCCACACAGGGGGTGAGTGAGGGAGCAGGGATGAGGACCCAGATCTGTCAGGCACCTGCTCCTGTCCTCCATATTCTGCTCAAGGACCCAGCCTTGAGATTCTCCTAGCAACCCTGGTCAATGACATGCTCCCAGGCCAGTCATGGACCCTCTGCTTACCCACTCTCTCATCAAGACCAGTCACTCTTTCCAGATGAGCAGAAAAGGAAAAATGCAAAACTCAAAACATTTTTCTACCTTTGGGGTTCTGCAGAGTGACTGGCAACTTCTCGCTGCCTTATCGAAAAGCTTATTCTTGGACTTCCTCATAATCAATGGTATGATTTGAATGCTCAGGTTTTTCATCCACCTGTCTGATCAATAATTAGTTCATTCGAGTCCAAAAAAAAAAGAATAAGATAAAACACAACTAGAAGATAGAGGAGACAAGGCCAGTATGAAAATACTGGGGCTTTAGGCAAAGTGGGTCTAGAATGAGTCAGCAGGGAGATGTGGATGAAAGACAGCAGATCCTACCTCAGCAGCTCTTAAAGAACTAGGTGCCCAGAGTGGGGACAGTCAGCAGCTCCCTTGTGGGATCAGGGCAGGTTTCTTTGTCCCACTGTTAATTTTCTCATTTGCAAAATGAAATTCATGGAGAAGGTTCACCTCAATGCCCAGCAGAGCACGTAGCCTGCTGCCAGCATGGCGGAGACAGAGCTAGACCCGCCCTCTCGACCAATAGGGGTGAGCACTATTATTCTTACTTTACAAATTATGAAACTCAGGTGACAAAGCTCTCAAGTGGCAGAAAATAGGCTAAAACCAGGTCTGCCTGATTCTGAAGTCCATTTTCATAACCACTAAGTTATACTTCCCCCCCCCCAGAAAACCCCCTATGATTTCACAACCCAGAGATAAAACACTTTTACCCTCCTGAACACTTTCAGATTTTCTTCCCTTTATTAGTGAACACTATTGCCTTCTACTTTTCCATCTGTTTTTTATGTGTTCCATCTCACCCTAGTCCTCTTTTCGGGTTGATAAGCCTTCTTCCCCAGACATAGCTGAGGGTCATTTTTGTGTGTGTGCTGTAACCTACTCAGCCCATCTGTCATTGTGGAATATTTAAGTGGTTCCAAGTTTTCACCCTTGTAATCAATGCTGCAGTGAACATCCCTGCTGTTCCGTCTCTTAGCTCTTGTGGGTTAAGAAGGTGTGGACACATGGACACCCACCCCTTCTAGGCCAGTGATTAGGCGGGTAGTGAGACTCTGACCCTTGCTTCATGGGAAAAGTATGTAGGGTCTGACATTATCCTACCTGGAGAAATGAGAGTCCAGTGTCCAGTGGTGACAAAGTGGCTGCCCTTAGATGACCATGAAGGTGCCCAGGGACAGTGATGGCACTTTCTCCTAAGTTTCTGAGCAAGTAGACAATGGAGCAGCAGCAGGCTGCAGGTGAGTGTGCCAAAGCCACTTCTCATAGATTCAAGCATCCAAGGGCAGATGAACCTGCCTCAAAGTCCCCCAGGATGCAGGGAGCCCCAGTACACTTCAAGAGGATGCTCAAGAAGAAAGCAATCAGTCCTAATTCTTAAAATTGCTGAATTACAAAAATGTAAGGTCTATCCATGTCTTACTAACTTGTCAATGAAAATTGAAAATCTACCCAGAGCCAAGTGCTTTACAAACATAATCCTGTTTATCACACAACATTCTAATAAGGAATGGAGCAAGGGGGGTACACTAAGTTGCTGCAATTACACACATGAGTCCTAGGAATTCAAACCTAGATCTCTATGATGCCAAAGCCCCTGCAGCCTGTTACAGTAATTAAAAGCATGGATTTTGGAGGAAAATGGATTCGGGCTCAAGAGCACTCCTCACTTGCTGACCTGGTGACCTTGGACAAGCGACTGGTACTCTCTGAACCACAGTGCCTCATGGGTAGTGCATCAGGGGTAGAGTAACAGCAGTCACTTCTGAGCATGGTTGGTTAGACTGAGGGAACTGACTCATGTAAAGTGCTCAGTGCAGATTAAATACTTGATAAATCTTAGGCCGTATTAGCTGGCTGGCATGCGCTAAAAATAGATCTAGGAGAGAACAATGAAGAGTCGTAAAGTTTGTTCATTCTCATTTAAAATGAAACCATCTGTGTTTATCCATTAAGATCTTTGAGTGCCCCAGCTTCCAGGGATCAAGTAGTGGACATGGACCCAATGCTTCTATTCACTGATTCATTGCTGGGCACCCACGTAAGTGCCAAGACCATCACAAATGAGGACAGCGGCAGGCAGGGCTAGCCCCAGCTTCCTAGGGTAGACAGAGCCTAACACCAGAAAACAACCGAGGGGGGGGCGGCTAACGGGGAGGCCAAGCAGCTCTGGAAGCCCATCCCAGGCAGCCCTCTTTATAGGGGAGCAAGGGCAGGCTTCGCCAGGGCTGGCACCTAGCTGAGCCCCCAGGAGGAGGTGGTATAGAATAGGGTGCCGGATGAGCAGCAACTGAAGGAGGGGGCGGGAGTCCTGGGTGAGGCTGGAGGGTAGCGGAAGCTCTTGCTGCTTCAGTCAGCCCTTAGCTGGAGGGCAGGGGGGACTTGGTGTGGGCGTTAAGCAAACAGTATGAAGAGACTGGCATTTAGACAGCTCTGGAAGATGGAGTGAGAGAGGCAGGTCTGGAGGCAGAGGTTCCAGGAAATGCGGGTGACTCCAGCAAGAGACTGGCAGTGGCATACGAAGTGACCCGTTTGAAAGCAGTGTCTGCTGACAGCACCCTGGAGCTGCTGCCTGAACCAGGCTTTCTTCCTGCCTTGAGTGCAGAGGTACCATCTTGGCTTCCACTGGGACCACCAACCGTCAATCCAAGAAAGACTTTGTCATCCAGCTCCTTTAACCCTTCGTTGTTCTCTGGGTGTCAATCAGAGGAACTGGAACTTCCTCAGTGAACAAAGCAGAATCATTTCTAGTTCCCAGCCCCATAGGGGCACCTCCACTGAGACTCAGCGGCAAGTCAGCTCGGGAGAGGGAGGGAGAGTTGGAAGAATGGGGAAAACCAGTTATTAATAATAATAGGCCGCCGTGGGGTAATAACAGCTTCTGGTTTACAGAGCACTTTCACAGACATTATCTCATTTGATTCTCACAGTACACGGGGTAGAGGGGGGACAGGGCAATTAGCTTCGGCCCCACCCTTTCAAATATGAGCACTCGTGGCTCAGAGAGTTTAAGTGATTTGCTCACGATTATGAAACTGGTGAGTCGAGGAGCTGGGAATGAGGATTTTATGACTCTAACTTCAGAACCTTGGCTTCTTCCATGGCATCTATGGGCAAGGGGTGAGAGTGGCTTTTTATGCCAACTGGGAAAGATAGCGTGGAGGTGCCTGTTGACTCCTTAGAATGGGGAAGGCAGGGTTAGAAGAGGACCCTGAGAAGATGGGGCTCAAGCAGGACAATTTCAGCTGGTCTGAGCAGATCCAGGCTGGGGCAGGCAGGATGTGCTAGAGGCGGGGAATGCTAGCTAGCTCTTGTCTACACCCAAGGGAATCAACTTCCAGAGAGGAATGGGTGAGACATGAGTCTGGGGGTGGCGGATGGGCAAGTCCTTCCACAGAGTCTGAGAGCCCATCCAAAGCCCAGGAAGCAAAAGTAGGTTCCACAGACAGCCTGACCTGCTCTGAGCAGGCACATCCAGGTCCTTCCTCTGTGCATGTTCCTGCCACCTAAGAGTCATAAGAAGAAGGACTAGAACTCTGCTTATGAACAACTCAGTGAAATCAGAGAAGCAGAAACCAGCTCATGGGCCCCCGCCAGCCTAGGGACTGTGGCTGCCCAGGGGGTTATGAAAGGCTCTTTTGCAGGACATTTGAGGTGAGCCCTCCTGCTCGGAGAACCACAGAGAGAAATTTTACAGGGATGAACCACACAGCCAACCAGGAAGGAAGGAGGGACAGCCCCCAGAATCTGGCTGGGGACCCAGGACAATGGCCCTGCTGTCTGCACGCTGGAGGGAGAGAACAGGGCTTGTGAACCCCAAGCCAAAGGCACTCTGGGTACTGCCTACATCCCTACAGTGCCCCCAATCCTACACAGAGCCCTTTATGCCTGACCCCACTCAGTCCTCACAACAACTCTACACGATGTGGAAGACGCAGACCTAGAGCACATCCCCTCTCTTCTCAAGGTCCCATAACAGGAGAACGGCAGAGCAGAGATTTGCCGGGAGGTCTGGTGGCGCAGAGCCCAGGATCTTTCTCCTCCCCACAAAGCCTTGGGAGTCTGTGTGCTGG